GGAAAAACAGTAAGTACGTTTTTCAGTCAAGGGTTGAATGATCTGCTGTCCATCAGTCTTGCAAACTCAAACCTGATTCACCTACCCAGGGCTGTTGGGGACTGAATTATTTCTTCTCTCATTCATCTCATCATCCATCACGTGTGCTTAGACTATGTAATTTTGCCATGAAGTGCACCTGTGTATTCCTTCTCTTTGGTGCTGTTTTAGAGAATGATTCTCTGGAATTTACATTGCCACTTTTCTCCACAATATTTGGGGACCAGTTGTGGAGCGGAAAAAATCCCACCAACTACTTAAATACTTGACATTTTAGCATCATCTAAATACTTTTTTGGAACTATCCCTGAATTCATTATGCATAAAGCAATGAAGAGACTCAAGCAACCTCGAACCCTTCTCTGTTCAGGGCACAGCTGGTGAAGGAAATGAGCTCTTCCAGCATTATAGGAAATAGTTGGAGTTGGTAGCAGATGCTGAGCATTTCTGTTCTGCTCTGTGACTACAGGACATGAGGAGATGGCACTAGTGAAAAATCCATCCTCGTCTGGAAATCATTATTGCTAACCAATCTAGCTTTTGTATAATAATTACTGTTATAATATTGCTTGTCAAAGTTTCTGTGAGCTGGTTTCTGGGGCTGTGTGTGCAGTAAAAGTTTCGGGGATCGACAAAGACTTTTAGGCACCATTTGTAAATGAGTAATTAATAAACCAGCATAAAAGTTCATTAGGATAGAATGAGAGAAGCAGTCAGAGATACCCTCCAAAGAAAGAGAAGGAAATGTTAACAAATAGATGTTACTAAACCAAATTTCTCAGCATGTTATCCTGTGAGGTGGAGAAAACTCTATAAGGATTAATTTTAAAAAGCAATTAGTAATACCACAAGTTCAGAAATCTTTTAAGCACATGTCAAATTCCTATGGATTCCCTGTTCAACTGATGACAAAGCTTGAAGGATTCAATAAGAAGCAGTAATTAAAATAGCAGAAAAATTAAGTCTCTAGTTCTTTAACCAGGGTTCCCATCTTCATATAAACACAACTCCCATGGAAAACAGTGTAACATTTTAATAGAGATTAACTAACTAAACAGTAGCTAGTTTATTTAAACTGTTCATTATTTCAGTATCCACTGATAGTAGGATAGCAGGAATACAATTAAGAGTCCTCCATAAGGAACACTATTCTCTAATGCCTATACTATACCCTTAATTAGCATGGTATCATCCATAATAATAATGTCTTTTTAAAAATTCATTAAATGTTTTGGGCGCTAGTCAGACAAAAGACTAAAAGAACAAACAATTCATTTTTAAGTACTTACAGCTAACACTTAAAATTAGTTTAATTTATTTTTTCTTTTGGCTTTGTCTAGAAAAAAAATCCTACAGAAAACTCATAATTTAGAGCAATGAATATAGCTGCAATATCTCTGCCTGATTAAAGAACATCCTGTACAATGGTACATTGTGGGGTTTTTGTTTGTTACTTGGGTGTTCTGCCTCAGGAATGAAGCAGCATGTTTTCTCTAATGTCACAAATGATTGCAGTTCAGCCACTTCATACATACAGTTGCAGTGCAAATGAGCACTGAGAAAGAATACTTCAAGTGAAATAGCTTAGTTACAAGAATTTTAAGACACTTTGGCTGGTGTGGGTTAAATTTATTCTAAACTGTGACATTGTAAACAAAAATACCAGTACTTTTTCCATAGTCAAGATGATTTCTATTTACAGATTCTATTTACATCTGGTTAGGGACAGAGTTAATCTGAAGTCCTTGCAGCAAAGAGTGAAAGATTAAGACTTTTCTGTTGTGTTTCAGGCTGAAACGTCAAAACAACAGCTCATTGCTGTCCTTGAAGCAAAACAAGGAGACACCAACATATTTGAAAGTGGTGTGCACAAAGCAGTAACACTGATGAATATAGCATAAATGGTTTTAAGTATTACTACTTATAAAGAAGTTCATCAATTGCTTACCTAAAAGTTTTGGTTAAAAATGTTAGAAGATAGCTGTGTTTCACATTTTTTGATGTCTGTTTGGGAAGTCTTTCAGGGCTTATGATAATAATGAAGAATTCCCAATCATACACTTTCTGAGTTTTCTGTTGCTTCGAAAACACCAACTTTTGTCTAAAATCACTGTTAATTGAATCAGTATTCATCTTTTGAGTGCTTTAATTAAGGGATGTGGAATCTGACATGTCTCATACCAGCCTGATGTTCAGACAACAGCGATTCAGTATTTTGTAAATACCAGTTCTGTTCTAGATGTTTTCAAGCGGGCAGCCAAACTGGGGGAGCCCATACCATCAGTCTTGCATATGATATGAATGTTTCTCTGTATATAGGTTACTCTATATTGTGAGCTCTCATGATTCAGTCAGAAAAGGGGCTGAGGTTTCAGCCTGAGTACCACATGGTCATATGTGGAGAGTGTCTGTAACTGGTGTCTCCATTCTCAGTGTTACTGTTAGTGGTATCCTGTTAAAAACAGCTGGGGGTGAGTGGGTTATTTCATCCATTTATACCCATTTAATACACATCTAGTCTAAGCTACTGCTCTAACTTTCTGCAGTCCATGGAGTTGCCTCTAACAGGCAGTTCATCTCCTCTCTCTCTGAAGGCATCTTGGAGGCTCCAATGTTTCAGTACAGCCTGGCAATTTACTGCTGATACAATCGACTTCCAACAACCCTTCTCACCCAGCTGGAGACTGGTCACAGGCATCCTACCTCCTCTTAGAGTCAGTCATTTTGGTGAGATGCATCAAGTTTAGCACACTCATCTTTTTTTTTTTTTTTTCATTGACTTTGAAATGATTTAATTAAGTAGCTCTGATGGAGTCATTTACTATTGGTCAAATAAGTTCTATGTCCACCTGAAGTCTTGAAGGTTTAGTTCTCAAGGTCCATCCCCATTTCTGAAGAAGTGACTGTCCTGCAGCTGTAGGTGTAAGATTTCTCTCCAGTATTTAAAAATTTGGCATTCATATTCTATGCAATATGACCTACCAGGCAAGTTTGTGGCTTTCATTCTTGTTTTTACAGAAGAGAAATCTATAAAAATGGAATGCGCTTCTGGTACAATTTCGTGTATAATTTTGGTCTGCGGACAATTTTTTGTTTTCCAGACCACAACAGAAGCGTTCTGGAAAGCTTCATCTGTGTGATTCCTGAGAGCTTTTCACCCAAAAACCTTTGCTCTTAACTCGTGGTTTTGTCTTCCTCTTTTACACTCGAAAACGTACACAGCCACTTTAATGGTGAACTGAAGCCTGTCTGCCTTTATTATAAGATCTGAAGCAGTCACCATCATCACCTGCAGCTAAATAAAGGGCTTGATTGTGCCTTCTCTTGAGCCTTAATGGGGTAGACACCTTGGTTTTAAGGAAGTCCACTGTTGTCCTCAGTGCTAAACTTCAGTCACTCCCCTGGC